ACGAGTTGCACAACCTTTCCTTTGTCTTTTACTGTTTAATACGAACCATCTTTCAAGAAAATGCGATTTTCTAGGTTGCTTTTACCAGTTTGAACTTATACAGAGTTAGAATTTGCTCTACCTGCCACTAAGTTTTATAGAAATTTGGGATTTAAAGATCAGGCAGTGGACGATTTGACTGATCCGTCCCCACTTGCGTAATTAATAAAAACAGTACAGGGCTTACACGGCATTCAAACAAGTACAAACGTTAATACCTCATAAGCGTTTTTTTACCCCTGCTAAACTGCTGCCTCCCTTCCTCAACTGTCTTACCAAAAAACTAGCTAGCCAGTTAGAGCGATCGGTCTGCCAATATGGAGATGATCGTTTTCTAAATAATTAGAACAGGGCGAGGACTGCGTCCGAGATGGTCATCGAACCAAAAACTTTGTTGACTTTTCTCAAAACGTAATCTCCAATACAGTAGTTTGGAAAACAGAGGAACTTTCTGAGTTGCACAAGTGCAGATTTATCATAAGATGACAAATCGTAAATTTGTTCTAGGGAACTGGTTCTGGAAACTGTCTAAACCGCGATTTGGTTGTCTGTGATGCAGTTTTAAGACGCTCTGAGACTGTATTAAATTATTATTCCATTCAAAAAAATATAAAATAGTGTGTCACTCCATGTTGAAGAGGATGTAAAATAACTAAGTTTCCCACAAAATCTTCTATAAGTCCATTATCAAACACTTCAAGTGAATAAATAAGCAAATGTATAAACGTCATTATTTTACACTAAGCTTCTCCAAGTATCCTTTATATTAAATAGTTTTGATATTACAATGTTCTCTGTCGGACCGCTTCCATTTTCTAAACCGGCAACAACCACATTTTTTGCTAAATTAAACAACTTGGAAAATTTTCTACGGAAATAATGACGAACTGTTTGAAACCTTGTGCATCGTGCATTTGTTTTAGTGGTAGTTATCTATCAATTCAGAACTCATAGATAACACAAAAATGTGTCACCACTGCTCCCAATAATCGCAGCTTCTCACCAGTGATAGTCATTGATAGCGCTTAGTAATAAAATATAGCGTCAGCTCTAGAGTTCAATAGAGAAATAATAGTGCTTCTGAAGACTATTTTTCTCCAGCTATTAGGCGCTTAAAATAAACCGAAAAAACTCAGTCTTATTTTTTCTTCTGTTGATTGCGAAGCTTTAAAATGCATCATTTTTTTCACTAGTTGAAAAGCAGATTACCGCGCCGGTCACCTTAAACCTCCAAACATTCCGATAGGCCGTTTTTTGATAGGGCGTCGTGATGCCTCGTACATTCGCCTAAGCTACTGCTAATCTTACTTGCAGGTTTGCAAGTACCCAGCTTTTTTCTCAGTGAAGTTCGTGAATAAGTACTAAGCAGTTGTCTGGATAGGAGTGAGTTGTTTGCTGGGGACCTAAACGTATAATTTTGATAAGGTCCTATATAAAGTTTTTGACCCCCGCTGTACACAGACCACGCTAACTGTTTTGTAAATAACTTTGTGTTTTGCAGCAAAAGTAATAGCATCAATCCACCAAATTTAAACGCTTTTAAATTTCCCTCGTTTAATACAAATGATCCCATGTGCCTTTTCTTGGCCAACCATACAATTTTTTCGAAACTGAGTTTGCTGACAGATCGCAGCACCGGTCACGCAACAAAATTAACTTTTCTCAAACACAGTATGCACTTCCTTCTCCCTGCCTATATCGCCCTACAACGATGGACTTCAAAAGTACCTCGTCTTGGTCACCCAAACACTCAGCCGTCTCTCACGTCCTAAATACTTTAAATTTTATTACAAACTTTTTACTGCCTAACAGCAGGGTATAGAGTTTGTAAAAGAATTTTTTGTTATCGGACAAAAACACGATTTTTTAGGAAGATAATAAGAAGAAGTAATGGAGTCTTTTGATTTAACATCATCTTGATTCAGCATTAAAATAATAAAATTTTTTGGTTCCTTATTACCGCTCTAAACATTAGCACTCTTAATAGAATAAAAGATTTAAGGTTTTTTTAAATTTATTCTTTCTCTTGGTAGTACATTAATGATATGCAACATAAATTACATGCGCAAAATGGCAAAGAATCAGTTCTGCATAATCACGAAATAATTTTACCAATCATTTTATTATGCAATTTCGTAGAAAGAACAGAACAAGTTACCATCAGTTTCTCGAGAAAATTTCTGTTTTACCCTTCTACAAAACAAAAGGTTGGGGTTGATTTCAACCCAAGTTTTCCGTCTTTGTCGTTTATTTACCAGTGGTGCTAAGACTTCCTGCAATCTTTGCAAAGTTTTTCAATAATTAATAACTGGTAAAAAAAAGTGCATTAATTTATGGCACTGAATAACCGAAAATTTCTTAGCATCTTCTGTTTTATAAGCAGGCCATTTCTTGTCATATATACCTTTAACTATGCCGTACGAAAAACCTGAACATTTTTATTACGTACTTACTTATGTCGGTTTTGTCTCCGCCTAAGCACTACAAATTCAGCAATTTTTAATGGCGGAAGTTAGCTGGAAAGACTGGCTATGTTGTAGTAAATAAAAATTAGTTTTTATTTTCTTATACAACGTGAGGAACTGCATGAAAATTACTTTCGCTGCTGCGTCACTTGAAATTTTGCAGGCCTATTTTGAAATAAGAAATATAGCATAGACGACAGTGTAGACAATTCACAAGGAATTTGTCGAATCGTGTTTAAAAAATGAAACTTTACAACCTACAACACACGGAATCACTGAGCGACAGATACACCACTCTCAGGACTGGACATCAAATTCTTATAGTCAACAACTTTTCCGTTTTGTACACGCGAGTAAACCGTAAAATTACAATTTAACCTTTATTTAAGTCGGTCGACATTCACCTCTAACGTATCAGAAATTGTCTTAGCGCTAACAAAACTGCTACTCGCACTGCCATATCATTTTACCACTAGTGCCACTTCTCCTCCAACTTTACCTAGATTGTAGAAAAATATGCAAAATTTTTACTTTTTTTATGCTTTTATTCTAGACGGTAACAAAACAACATTTGACCTTTTTAGCAGATTCTGCGTACTTGAAGCACAAGTCCAGCAGTATAAAAGCATAAAAAACGAAATGAAAATCTTGCATATTTTTCTACAGGTCCTTAAATGAGTAATGGCTTTATTATGCCAATCTTTCCTTGAAAAAAACAGAAAGCGAAAATTGCGTTAGCTTGATAACGCTTACAAATTTATAGTTACTGTAGTATTATGTAAAGAAAAAGTTGATGTTTGAATGGTACGTAATCAGAAATTATGTATTTTGGCGAAGTTTAGGATACAATCGTTTTAAAGACTTATGGATTACTTTCTTTTTGCTTAGAGGTTAACAGAGGACAGTAAAGAATACAACTTACTGCTCGATTTAAAATGATGTGAATGGTGTGATATTTAAAAAAATAAAGGAGAGAGAGGGCAAAGATGATGGAATGCAGGACATCAACCGATTAAAATCTCACCTACAGAAATGATCGAGATTAAAATAAGGTAACAGAAGTTAGAAAATGTTTTTATTAAGTTCTAGACGTTTCGGCTATTTCTATTCTCAAGTGCTTGAAGCAGTTGAATATCTACTTTTTTTATCAGGATGATTTCTAAAAAATTCTTCAATACTAAATACCCGGAAACAAGAAAAATTTTCGTCTACGAAAGGTTACAAAATGAGCCGAAATTGTGACAAAAAAATTTTCATTTCATCCAATCACTGTCAAATAAATTTGGCTGAACAGCTTTTCAACGAATTTCTAGTAGCGTTTCATCAATCTCCTGTTCGTTTACACACCTCTTCCATTTTCTGAAGATACCCTTCATTCAGTAATATTCTTATCTTGAGAATAATGGTCACACTCTTCGAAGCCAAATCTCTACTTGGCTGCTCCTAATCGAACCTCGCATCCTATAATTCACTACACTTTTTTTGTATTAAGGTCAACCATCTTTTTTAGCAATAAACGTGTACTGCAACCCAAACAAAAACGTGCCAAATTTGTTGCTTTGGTAAGTTTAATTATCAAGTTAAAATTTTTTTTTTTTGAAGCATTAGTAACTTGGCTGTGTAATATGAGTTGCCATGAACTTGCAAGGTTGAGGCATCCAGTCACGGAATGTACCTTCGTAAATCTCCACCCAAGCCAAGCTTCTGGCTGATTTAGGATCACAGCATCCTCCGCGTTCCCCCTTCACTACTCTTTCTGTATTTGAAAGGTACTGATGATGACGACACTTAAACGTCTTGTTTTGTAACACCCGTAACTTCGCCATTTCCCCTGAGCTAACTTCCCTTTCAGTAATAAAGTTTTGGCCCAAAAACTTGTAATTTTCCAACGTTCATTGAAATCCTCACAAGCTGTCTATCGAGAGGAGCGAAAAGCCAAAAGAATGACAGTGAAATAAAACACTGCAGAACCGACTTAGGCTTCCTCGTCAAACCACTGATTCCACAAAACCTTATTAAAAGCGTGTTATGGCCCTCAACGTCGCTCAAAGTGTGGGCTTCGTTTGTCACTACGAAAACCTCTTTAAAATTTATTATTTGGTTCAGCTGTGGTGTTTCACTTAGCGTTTTATTTTCACTGTTACTCGTGTAAAGTCGAGAATTTCATGCAAAAGTTCCATATGATAAACGATTGAAAAATAATCGAAATTACTCGTTTTTTTTAAATATATAGCATCTTTTGCACATCCAAATTGTAATTGTAAAAAGTTCTTTACGTTGTGCAGACGGCGTTGCAATTTATGGAGGTGACGGACAAGTCCCGGTTAATTAAAGATTTTGCGAATTCTCCGTGGTTTCCGACCTTTTTTTTCAGAGGAAGCATTTAGAATCTCAGCTAAACAAACGGCGAAGAAGCCTGCAAATTCTTTCTCTGGAAAAATCAACTCTCTTTTGAAACTCACCACAAAGATTTTGAGACTTCCTCTAACGCGTATATCAGTGACACGGTGGGAATCAACAGTAGCTTTAGAAAACATTCAACATACACTCAGAAGTAATACAAAGCTGGCGCCCCACATGTGCAGACGTTTAGCGAACGCAAACCTTGGCCATTTTTGACAGTGTTTTATCATCTCCATCGTTTGACTGTTGCGTTAATCCTTGACGTACAACGGCAGTAAGTTGCATTTCTGAGACTAGTGTTTTCCCTTACTTCAGATCCTTGCTTGTTTATCGGTGGAATTTGGTTTTGATGTAGGACAAGTGCTACGCGTGATTTAGACTTTGTTGAGACTTAAGACGTCGATAACTGACCTAAAAAACACTAAAACTTCTTATAAGTTTGTCTTTGCAGTTCTTTGAGAATGAAGCAATACTCACTATAATATAAGCTTCGAAACCGAATTTCATTGTTCTAACTGCCTAGAACAAACCTTTAAAATTTTGTTGAGATGGAAGGTACATCTGTTCTGAGAAGTCAAACGTGAAGAACTTCTTCAGTTTGAATTGAGCTACAAAGTCCCAGTCAAAAACCTTGCATTACCTCAGGTTCGGAAAACCCTACGCACGCGAAAGAGAATTGGGAATTCAAGCCACTGAGAAAAAAAGGAAAACAACTGTCAGAGGATCAACCGTAATAATGTCGGTTGTTGCGCAACTGTGCTATTAACAATGTTTTTTTCACCTTCACTTCTGCAAACTGTCTTAGTAGAATTTTTACTCTGAAACGTGGTGAAAATGTTGAACTCATCATTTATTTTGGTCAAGATCAGGTTCCAACAAAGTATGCAAAGCAGTCAACCAAACGGTGACAACCAGTATAGAGCAAAAACATAAACAAGATTTTCGTACAGAAGATTCAAAACAGAACGATAACAAACGTCTGTGCAATACTGCTCTTTGCAAAAACTTCATCTAAAATTGCAGAAGACTCATAATAATCTCGATAAAATTTCAAAAGTTTTGCAAAAACTTCATCTAAAATTGCAGAAGACTCATAATAATCTCGGTAAAATTTCAAAAGTTCTGCTCATGAAGAAACAACGCATTTTGTGAGCTTCCGCCAAAATATTTTTTGTATATAGCAGCAGCGCTAAGGACAAATGCACAGAAAAAGATTCGGTAATGATAAAAAGTAGAAGGCAGAAAAAAACTGACCTTGTAATGCACCAAACTTTGCAGTGTGAGAAGAGAAAAACTTAATATTTCTAAGAAAAAGGGCTTCATCAGCAAGCAAAAAAGTTTTTTCCAAAATGCTATGTGCATATTTTGCTAAATTATTCCAAAAGAAGCCTATTAATGTCATACATCACCCGTAATAAACCGATACACATTGTACGCACTAATAAGCTGATTTGCTGTACCAATCAAAGTTTAAAATACGAAACCTTTACAAAGAAAAAAAAAAATGAATGAACTGAATGAAAAACAATACTGAATTGTTGTCAATTACAGAAGACCGTAAGACCGTAAACAAGAAAAAAAACTTCCTAAAGGATTTATCAGTTATTCCGATTTAGGTTTATATCTGGTCCACCGAATTAACGTTGCTGGAGAGCGGAATAAAAATATCAATTTCGCATAAAGATCCTGTAAAACACATTTGTAATGCACAAAACAAACACTGTTTAACTGTCGTATAAGAACAAGAAGCTAAGATATATTTTTTGTTACCGAAAACCCAAGTGGCCAAGCAAGCTTAGAAAAGACTTCTGAAAAGGTGAATTTCTGATAACAGGAAAAATATATTTCATTTCTGGTCACTGCTTCGGTGTTGAAACTAGCCACAAAAAGGTAAAAAAATCGCTTATCTATCTTGTAAGAGCACTAAAATACTAGTACCTGTTCCAAAACAAAATCTTTTGCTTCACGTACTAAATATATATCTTGGCAGATTTTCAGCAGGTGATCTGGATTTGGAATTTCAGAGATCATTACATCCAGCGGCTGACTTGTAAGTACTCCACGAACCTTTTGCCAAATCAACAAAACCAGCGCGATATACATTGCAATTATTCTAAATCATACACAATAACAAAGAAGCTTGACCCAAAGAGACTTCAAACAGCCTACTCCAGTCCAGTCACAGAAAAGCACAATTCAAAGAGTGGAAAGTGAAAGCTTCGAAGTTGAAGAAAACGAACTGACTCACCCGCCCTGGGCAAACTTCGAAATAAATGTTGGAAAAACGCGATCAACGAATGCAACCATTTGCACATACTTCACGGTGGAATTGCTTCCGTACTTTATGGGATCAAGAGGTAGTGTCTTCGAGCGAGTAACTTCATTCTCAACCAGCTTACAAGACCACAACGCACCTGACTCCTGGAAGAGACAACAAGACAAACTAGCAAAAGAAGGACTTGAACCCACAAAAACAGAACTGAAAGAAACACAAAACAGTAGAACACAGCTTTAATTGATCTATAAAAGTAAGGTTCAAACTCACGCCTTCTCCGCCAAGAGTTAAAGTAAGGTTGGAGAATGCAAGTTCCGAACTTTTATCGGCGTTGGCATACATTACTGAATGTAACGCGTACGTTGGTTTGATTTCTCCTTCGTTAGGAATGGTTACGTATGGAGGTAGTGCATTCAAAAACGTAACCTGAAATGCAATTTACTAAAAACTCTTAAGCACTCCCAAAACAACCAAAAAACTTAGGAACCATGACTATAAATCTCAATCTCATGATTCGAGTTGTAAGAAAAAGTTAGGAAAAAATCAAACTTCTCTGCTCTTGGAACTATTATTTAACGCATCAACCAAAGCGCTTCGAGTCTCGCTACCACTTAAAAGAGGTATTGAGAATCGACCCGAGTGCACAATCGGCTCTTTTGTCTCGTCAGCTCGTGTCCTCTCAAATTTTAATTTTACAATAGCATTGACTGTTTCATTCTCCTTCTCCAGCTCATACTTCATCGCTGTCAATGAATCACTTGAAATTGACCAAAAATGTTCGGATTCCGGGCGGAACCGAATTTTCTGAAAGCAATGATGTTCACTTTCGTAACAAAGCTACTTCAATGTAAATCCCTTCTGCCTTTTCAATTAATACGATATATCATTTACAGTTACAGTTTCTTCTTCACGTGCATTTCAAATCATAATCGGCTACCAGTATGTCCCCTGTGCCGTACTCATGAATAAATGCAACTGCTTGTCGCGCACGTGACACCCATTTTTGGTCCAATGCCGAGTATGGATCAGAAAAATTGTCAACAAGCATTTGATATTCTCTCGGAGTCAGATTCTCCAGTTCGATTCCCTGAGCTTCAATAGAATAAAGAGCCTAAAAAAAAGCTCTCAAGCACGCTAATAGACTTCAAAAAGCCGGAGTAGAATGAAATTAAATCAACTGACCGGATACCCTTCCAAGCTAATTGTCATCTGAACACTCACTGGCAAAAGCACCGTGCCGATCCGATTCAGAAAAGCAAAAGCAATCAGCGGGGCCCAGACAATAAGTATAAGGATAAGAATAACAGGAATACCCATTGCATATTTGACAGTATGTGACTTTGCTTCCCCTCGTTTAGCTGGGAAGTTCTGTAAAGAAAAATTGACTTAAGCTTTCAAAATCTAAAAGAAAAATAAAAAATAAGAAAGCAAAACAATAACCTGCTCGTAAGTACGAGAGCATTTCAAACTGTAGATAGTGGCAAAGAAGTTTTCCATGTTGAAAAAGTCGAAAATTGGCATCGATGTATCTGTCCAGGCCCAGTCAATAGAAGTTCGCAACTCGAACATAAATGGCATGCACATAAATCTGAAAACAAGATTTAAAAGGCGTGAAAAACATTTTTTTGGCATAAGTCGTGCCTAAGTGAAGTGAAAAGTTTATAGTTGTGATAATAAAAATTACTCCCTACATTTTGAACATAATCATGTTGGCAAAGCCGTATGAATGAGTGATGAGATTTCCAACGCAAAGAGATGGATATCCGTTCCGTATCTGCCACGCCGAAACCAGTAGATAAATACATTTTACTATATATAATAGCTGTGCCGTTTTATTCAACCAAGATGGCCTATGATAAAAGCAATCAAAGTTTGACAAACCAGTTACGGCAAACGAATTCAAACAGAACCAAGAGAAGTTCCAAGTTTAAAAGCGCACCTCTCAGTATTTCTCTCTCAGACTTCCGAGACAGCAAAATAAATTACTTCAGAAAAAATAAACGAAAAAAATTAATGGTGCCACTCACTGATATGTTACACTCTGCGGCAACACAAAGAAGATGTAAATATGGAGAAATATGACAGTAATGACTTGGTAAACAAGTTTCCATAAAACAGTTTTCCGCAGATACAGCGCCCGATCAATAACAATCATTATCGATAACACAAATAACATAACAACAAAAGTTATGGGTACTCGATTTGACTGTAAGATAAACAATACATCAGTACCCTTTAAAGTTTATCTTGAGGAAAAATCATCATAAAAGTTACCTGAATATCCTTAACTACACTGCCGCTACCTCCATAACCAAACGATGAGAACCCGAATACAATTATGAAGAAACAGAGGACGTCAAGCAAGAACATAAAAGGATAAAGATCTCTGATATACCGGTACTTGGGATGGAAAAGTTGGTGGATAAACTGACTTATCACCCAGCGGTTACCCTTAGCAGTTGAACGATCTTCTGAAACGAACCGTAAAAGCAGATCATCAAAAACAACTGCAGTAAGTTTCAGGAAAATAAGAAATTTTTGTTGGTAACAGAAGTCAACTTGCTGCAAGATGTACACAAAGGCTAATTCCTCTTCCACATTAATGAATGAAAACTCATCAAAACTACTGTCTCTAGCAGAATATAGACGAACCTTGCTTTTTTTCCACAAGCTCACTTTCCTGTTGCGCGCCTTCCTGCACCTACATAAAACCGGTTATTTCTACAGTAAATTTTAGTTCAGATAGAAACTATAGAGAAATTATAGTCTCAAAATGAATAGAGAAAAAAATCTACATCTGGAATTTAGAATACAAGAACACATTAATATTGCGTACCTCAGCATTTTCAGAAGCACTGTCACCAGTGGGAGACATGTTAGGGTGCTGAATTTCAGAATGAATCCCTTCAGGATCGGTTACATGATGATTTCCACTAGTTGTAGCATCCTCGACAAAAGACTCATCGCTAGATGCAGCGTCTTTCCACAGACCCATCTTACGCAAAACATAGCGGTGGAAGAAAAGAGCTGAAAAAATCCATCTGATACAAAAAAAACGCTTTGAAGGAAGATTTAACACCAATATAAAAGCTACGAAGGAATTTAGAAGAAGCCCCAATCTGCAAAGAAACCCTTACCAACAAGTAAAAACACATCCCAAAAAGCATAAAAATCCTCCTTCCGCACGCCGAGAATACCTGGCCACGAACTTACAGCATTTTCGTTTTTAATGTGAACACTTGTTCTATTCCAAGGGAAAAAGCCAAATTGGAATATAAATTTGGTGACCACACAAAGCTGCGTATAACCGATAAGAACGACCTGAAAAGCTGATTGTCAACAACTTCTAAAAAAAGAAAACAGAAAGCCAAAATTTCACCATACAACTTTCCCGCTGTTATCTAGCGACATACCCAAAAGATTCTTGGTGGTCTCGGCGTAGCTAACGTTCCCCACAAGAAAACGAGCATCGGCAGAATGAGAGAAATAATTCCACCACAACGGGCATGACCTATCACAGCGATGACATAGCACAAAATATCAGTATGTGCAGAAATACAATAAGCAACAGCTATTACGAATCGCGAATAGACGTTCTTTTGCTGCCAGTTGTCAAGCGCATCTTTCTCTAACCTTAAATTCAATTTAAAAAGTAACCGAACAAAACTAATATGAAAACTACCAAAAATAAACAAGAATCATTAGTAGAGTTGCAATAGAAACCTCGAAATATCACTTTCACTATTCACACAAGCTAAATTACTCGTTTCGAACTGCTGCCTTACGCTTATTACAGGTTGCGATGTGTCGACCAACATCTTTAAAAGAACATTTTACGTCATGAACCAAACAAAAAAATTACCCAATATTCTTACAATTCGCAATACAATATGAAAAAACAACAGTACGTCAATACACAGTTCTCACTGATAGAAACATACTTCACGTAATTCTCGCTTCAGATTCGCTTTCTCTTTGCTAAGGACAAACGCTACATAACGGTGGTCGCGAGAACGGCGGTTTAGAAACGTTGCTACCCAATTCAAAAATGAATGAAACAGCTTGCGCACGAATCGCAAGCCCACCAAAATTTTCTCACCTAAACGTAAATTTTGCTAAGTAATTCAATGGCAAATTGCGCTTTAAACACGAACCGAGGCCTTGGCTAGTTTCTTCTCCACCATCCGCAGTATCCTCAACTTGAGTGGAAGTTCCAGGATGTTCTGAACCGCTTGAAACTGCTTCAATCATACGTTTGTTCTCATCCTCAATTTGTTCTGCCTCCTTTACAGCACTTAACGTTTGTGCAATGGCTAAGTCCCTCTGAATGGCAGTGTGGAGCAACTAAAAAATTATGATTATTAAAGGTGACCGAGAAAAAAATAATAAAGGAACACTTGTTCTCACTTGAGCGGGGTCTAACTTTGTGCTGTCCGTAGCACCTGGAGTGACTTCTGGCGCATACGACTCAACATATTCGGTCGGGACATCCGTATTTGGATCATAATCAAACATATAATAGTCACCAGCTCGCTTTGCTAAAACAGATTTGGTTTATGAAAGACTTAAGTATTAGACAAACATATAAGTAAACTGTGCAGAAATGATAAAAATTTTTACATCAGCCGGTAATTTTTTCAAGAGAATAACAAGCTGAAAAATGAAAAAGTATACGAAAATTAATCTAAAGTGAAGAACAAAATAGCTGCGCGTAATCGTAAAAGGCAAGAGTTTAAGCATTATAAAAAAACAGGCAGCACAAGAAGTAACAGTGTTACAGTTGATAAATACGAATTTAAGCAAAAAAGCTCGATTAAAAAAACTAAAAATCCTTCACCATCCCGTCTACTAAGAAACCAAACAAGCTTAAAAATTATAAAACAAAAATTTTTTAGTTTTGTTAGAGGCAAGCTGATTACGACAAACCATCGATGTCCATAAAACGAAGACCATATTCAGGAAAAGGATCGCCGAGATCCACCAAAGACTCTTCACTTCCTGCACAAAAACCATGTGACACCAGAAAATCATGTACTTTAAAGAGTACTGCCATTTTCATAGAACTAGAACCTACTGTTATCATGCATAACCGTAATCTAGATGCGGTTTAAGACTCTGTGTAAAAGCTTAGAAAAATTAATGTAAAATGAATAAATTTTAAACTGTCACAGCAAAAACGCCACAACAGGAAGCAAAAAAATTAGTATGACTAAAAATTTGCTACTGTTAATGAGGAAAATTAGAGTAACGCACCACCCACGCACTACTAAATATAAAACGCCACTAACAGCCGAAATAGTGCTTGTTATATACTTCGTGTTACCGCAGCGATCACGAATATGAATGAAAACAGAATATTAGAAGCGAAAAGTAAACGCCAAAGATCTTTCAAGTAACGTTTCCCCAAAAGTTATGGTCAACAATGTAAAACAGTAGTCTGACCTGTAGAGTCCAAATTTTTGCAAAATAAGAAAAAAAACACGAACCCGTCGATTCCCATTAATCTACGTGTCAACCACTAAGTTTTCGTACTTCAAAGCGCAAGTCAAAAAGCACTTGGTGATAAACTACACGACACAAGCGCTATACTTTGTGCGATACTTAAGCAAACATCCTTCCCATTTGCAAAGCAAAGCAAAAGAGAAGAAACTGAGGCTGTGAGGATTTTAGTGATATATATTCCATCGGTAGAATTTAGTTTCTTTAAGACTTGTGCCTATATACGAATAGACAAAGAAGACTGAGACCAATTTGAAGCAGAAAATAATTAATTAAAGAAAATTCTTGACCACTTAGCACTTTCTTGCATTGAGATTAAGAGAAATAGTAATAGTAACAGTAGTCATTATAATAATGGAAATAATAATAATAACAGTAATAAAATTATCATTATCATAATTGTTATTATTATCGCTATTATTACTGTAAATACCAATAGTATCAGTATTAATAATGTTAATAATATTAATAATATCAATATTATGGTTATTATTGATAATATTAACTATATCAATAACATTAATAATAACGGTAATATTGATAGTATTTATAGTGTTAATAATATTGATATTATTATTAACATTAATATTATTAATAATATCAATAATACTTATAATACTAACAATATTAATATTGTCAATACTAATAATGACATTATAAGCAGTCTTAGTAAAATTAACAATATTAATATCATTAGTGCTGGCGTTAATATCAATGACCACAAATAATAATAACAATGACAATAAACGTAAGAGTCTAACTAAACCTTGAGCATAACTCTCGGGAACAAATGCTCCAGTGCCAACTCGTCGTTCTTGTTCCTCATAAGTTTTTCTTATTTTTTCCGTTCTATCTCGGATTTCAATAAACTTCTGCTGCTGTTGCTCATTCTGCTCTTTCATCTCCTTTCGGATAAGCTGATTTGTCAAAATTGCGCCTCTGAAAAAATTAAAGAAAAAGACATAACGTACTCTATCAAATTATAGAAATTAAGCAAGCAAAGACTAATCAGTGTACAAATTTAAATCGGAAAAATACAAACCGATTTATTAGAACCGCCTCCGCTCGAAAATCTAACATACAATGTTGGAAATAATACGAATGGAGAATTCTCAACTGCATAACCAAAAACAAAAACGCAAGCGTATCAAAACCAATTTGAGTTTCACTCTTTTGAACAGGGCAGTTCTTGTCAAAGTCATCTTCTGTAAACACGCATTTTATGATAAACATTCAAGATTGTTTTTGTAATAACTTTTAACTAGAATTGGAACTTCTTACGCTGCGGAAAGTAGTAAGAGTTGCCATGCCCAGACATTGTGCTAACGCAAACAATACTGAACAGTTGACGAATTGAACACCAACTGAGTAACTTGTCAACGAAAACGCATCCAACGAGCTGAAAATTTATGGAATTTAATGACGGCAAAAAATTTCTGAGAAATCGAAGACCAGAGACTCTGCACTGCTGCTTCCCTCTACTAAAGTGAAGATGCACTGCAATGGTGGGTTTGAGTGAAAGAAAAAGTGTCCAAGAAAAGTTCCGAACCTGCAACGCCACCTTGAAAAACATTACAATAACATTGTATAACAAAATAGTCTTCCAAAGCAAAAGAGTCCGTCTGTAATTTTTCATTGTATAAAGTGTGGTGCCTTTCCATAAAATCATGAAAGCCAAGAGAATATAGCCAAGAGCGAAGAGTGAAACACCTCCTAGGCCCGCAATAAAAACCATTATAACTGTAGCCCAATGGCCATACATAAAGACGGCAATCTTCAAAAAGTCAACAAAATTTCTGAAAAAGTTATATAGTTTTAGTATAATTAACATCGCTAAAGCTTAAAGTTTGAGATCTAAAAAGAAGATAGCGCAAATCACCAAACAATTAATACAGATGACAAATGCAGCCTAAACTACAAAACTAGCCTCTGGCTAACAACAAAATCGTAGTAAGGATTTTCTGACGAGAAGATATAAACGCCATTTTTGTAAACGGAGACATTATCTCCAGCTGCAGGCGGAGGGTTTTTACAACCTTCTATTCGAAAAACGTATTCCTTAAAAAAACTGTTAAATTTTCAACATTTTTTCGCCAAAATTTTAAAAAAAATTTCAAAAAAGCCTCACTTGGCATGCTACAGCGACTAGCAGGAAAAAATCTCCAATCAGATTAGCTGTTTTCAACGGGAGTGTATAACTTCCTAAATCAAGGAACGCCACTAAATTATCATTTTGGCTTACTAAATCATCTTCTCTCGTTGTACTCAGCCAACTGCTCCAAGGGTAATCTGTAAGAGACTATTCGATTGAAGAGATATAATTTTATGATAATTCCGAACAACAACCTCTCTGAGAGGCTTACCATAGCAAAGGATTGGCGGCAGCCCAACATAAATGGCATACTGTAGCACAAACATGACTGCAACGTAAGCTAGGAAGAACGGCCACAAAAGTCTACAAACTTTCCTTGAGAAAACGCAGAAAATAATGAGCCACACCAAAAGCAATGAACCAAGTAAATCCATTCGCCCCCAAGCGACAAGGACCATTATGGTCAATGATACCTGCATAAATGAACCTAGAGAAGTAGAAAGAAGTTTGAGAAAAGTAATTGACAGATGAACCACTACCTCCAATCCAAATTTATAATACCCATAATTTAGAAAGAATTTGAAAGTTTCAATGAGACTGGCATCCCATTTACTGGGTTGAGCTTCCGGAAATATCAGACCACGTGAGGAATTTTGTTCGCCTCGAAGCCTGCGCATATGCCGTTGCCGATACACTATTACAAAATGAGCCGCGATGAATATTATTGCTAAGACCAAATGCTAAAAAATATCTACTTATACTTCAAGAATTCACCACAACAGCTCTGCATTTTAATAACCTGCTTCCCCTTGTTATAAAAAAATTTTTTGAAGAAAAAGCAACAACACATATTGCAGTTTATCAAATCAACCATTGTAAAAAATGTATTTTAAAATAAGCTGTAAAAACTTACGAGAACATAAGACCATATATCTGGAACTGTTTTAAACCCAAGCCACTTGATGGTAGAATTATCAAACATTGGATAGCTTATATTACAATCAGCCTTTCCAAAATCGAGTCCGGCATACGTAGCATTAGACACTCTTCTCAGCTAAAAGTCTTCAAATTAATAAACCGTAATTGAACACCACAATAAGAATATAGAGACAAAATTTTCTCACCTGATATAACATACGCGCCACCGAGAAAACCGACAAAAACACACATAATAACAATGACAGCAATTTGGCAAGAACTGGAAGGCACGATGCTAGACTAACGAATAAAATAAGAACCAAATTCAGAGCGCATATCTGCAAAGAAAAGTAGGCTTCAAATATGCTTCATTTATAAATTATAAATGATCTTATTGTGATTTTCAAATTAAACCTTGTTTTTAAAGAAGCACCCAAATCACAACTGTAAATAACTTACATCATTAACAGCTATAACTGTGAGGATTAATAAAACTAATTTAATGAAATGAGTTTCCGCAAGTCTCCATAATGCATCGACAATCCAATCCCAACATTCTTTGGCCTTCTCATAACATGTTTTGCTGTCTACAAAATATACGGCTATACTTATAGAAATAAATTATTAACTTTTGCACTTATAGAAATAAATTTATTAACTTGGAATAATACCATTCTTTGAATTTTGTTATTAAATAAGCTTTTTTCACTAGTTAAAAACTTTAGTTTCAAGTCCTAGTATCAAAGTAGAATGACCGCTCAAAAATCAGTTTCACATAAACCTAGCCAAGCGATGTTTCGACCAGCCATTCTTGCATGGTAATGCTTGTCCAACACCAATGGCTTTTCTTCATAGCCGTCAACTTCAACATGCCAAAGAGAAGGATGAGATGAAACAGAGCCACTCATAAGTCTTTCTTGTTAATTCAATTTTTTCTGCTCCTTCAAGTTTACATCAAAGTTGCACTTAAGGCGGAAGATACTGCTAATTAAATACCATAGCCTATTTACTAAAAAATACTTCTTTGAGATAAAAATATAAAAACCCAGAAAGTCCAAATCAAACCGGGTAAAATAAACGACTATTTCATCTCAGTGATAGTCAACAATTGTTGCAAGCAGAAAAAGAATGGACAAAAAACCTAATAACACAAAAATAAAAATGATATCTGAACAATATAAATTCATAAATGAAGATATACGGCACTAGTATCTCTTAAGCAAAAATGCAGCAAACATAACAGATCTGAAACCAAAAAAGTTTTGTTGACATAATACATATTCGCAAGCCAATCCTCTACATTAACAAACACGTCATTATAACTACCAGTTGATAAGCAGTGCAAGAGTCGTAAAAGGTAATTTTGAAAAAAAAAAAAATTAATTTTATACGATGATTTTCACACTGACGAAACATAAACAAAAGAAAATAAATTCTGTTGATTTTTATTTTATTTAATAAAAAAAATAAAGAAAGACAATAACAATTTAATCAAATAATAAAGGACTGGAAAATACAAATTCTACAACAAAAGCACAAAATTTTAAAAAAAATAAAAAATTAATTTTTAGCGTCACCAAAAGATAGATACTTTAGGTTTTCGACAAGTGATCAGTACTAAAAGCCTGCATACAAAATAGCCTCATCAGAAAATAATTTTCAGAAATATATCTTTCTCGCAAATTTCACGATAAAATTTCGAAATAATTATTAAAGTTTCAGACTTGGCCCAGTTAATTGTAATTTCTGCCTACACTTTCTGTGGCCTACAATGACCTCCATGATGAATAGAAAACTTCATGTCCCCCTTTACTCGAACAGTAAGGATAAGAAATCAACAATTGAAAGAAAAAAAGAAAGACAAGACGTAACTGTTCAAAAACAAAGCTTAAGCGGTAACAAAGTATTGCAAATCTTACTTGCTAATAAACTATACAAATACTTGACAGCCATTTCGTCTAAGATACATTCTAAAGTCTGATGCAATTAGGGAACTGAATCATTGAGAGTAATATAGACATTAAAACAGAGAAGAAAAAAATACTGACGCATATATCAATAACGACTGTGGTAACATCTCAAAGTTTAAAACTTGTTGAGAGCTGGATAACAAGAATGAGCATAAAATACAAAAAAATTCAAAACAATTTTAATTCAACGTAGAAGATAACAGAATGCCTGAGAAAGATAAAGCAAAAACAAAAGAATGTCTCAAACCAAAAATACTCATGGTCGCTTTGCTGAACAGTATCATGCAGCTCTACGCAACTGACGATGAGTAATATCAAACATACAAAAACATAACTGGAATGAAAAACATACACGCATCACATTTTTCTCTCCATTCCTCGTTCTCTTCAAGCAGATACAGTGCAAATACAATGAAACGAAGTCAAAGAAACGCTTACAAATCAATTTTTTGCAGCAACGAGACCTAGGAAAACAGCAAATAATCCATAATATAATCGGCTTCGCCATCGACCAATACAGGCAAGCTTCTTTGAAGTGTTCTACCGTTACAAACAGCCACAGCACTCAAATACCTATGTATCATCCCTCCACCGTAAAAACCTTCCAATCTCCTACCAACATCCCATAAGTATCAAAACATCTCTTCCTTTCGCTTACTCTTTTTTCTCTTTAGTTAATTAAACAGTATTACCACTTGTTCAGTTTTTTAGAAAGTAAATTTCTATCTGTACTTATTTTGCCCCTTCACAGTACTCATCCACATCAAAAAAGGTTAATTTTCTAAAATTACTTCTTTATCAGCAGACACCAAATCCTTCTCAGCAATGATTTGAAAAATGAATTTACAAAGTGACAAATCAAATCATACTGAAAGAAATTAAATTAAGGATTCAAACCACAAACCCCTGTTCCTCTCAGCTTTCTGATGACAAACCACAGAGTATTCTCTGAACCAAGTTCAGTCTAGGTTATCAGTTACAACATAAAAAAAACCTTTTTTATCTTTCCAGATGACCACCGGCTGACAACCAACCAGTGGTACAGCTTGGTACCAATATGCAAAATATTCCTTCAATCAACAGTAAAAAACTGCACGTACAAAAAGACAACTAGTAGTTAGTTGACTTTAAGCAAAAAATATTTATCACTACTATGCTATAATAACACCTTAAAGTAATGATTTGTCAACCATTTTCTCAAAATGTTATTTCTCATTTCCAGATATTTTCCACACATTCTTCATTAAAAAAGGTTTCTACCTCTAACCTTTATAAAAGAACAAAAACCAACAACTCCTTTAAAAATCTCTTTCTTCCACTGAGTAGATATTTGGCCTAAAAAACTTCCTCTAACAAAACGACTTGAAGATTTCTTGAAATATTGCAATGTTTGAAACCAGCAAAATCTAAAACTATACTTTATAAGTGAGCGATAAAAAAAAAGCAAATACTGTGCTTAGCAAAATTGCTGAAGAGACTTAGATTTATCCTGCTAGCCAAACAAATACGTCCTAAAATGCAAATTAAAAATCCTAAAATGAAGTAAACAATGACAATATATCCAGAACCTTTCAAAGTACTACAAATTGTCAGTTTTTTCTCATAAACGACACTGCTGACCTAGAATGCTACACCAACTTGGACTTTACATGTCTAAAAAGCGCTCCCCTGTTCGTAAAACGACTGAGCAGAAAAGTCACAAAATTTATTATTACAAATTATTATAGGCCCTCAACTTTTTGTTGGAATCAAAAATTCAATAAAGCAGCATTTTTTTTGGAGTACAATTAAAAGGTAATTTTTAAGATCAGTATATACAAACCAGTCAAGAACCCATTCTCAATTCACCAGTATTAATGCTAGTAAGAGTGAAAGGTTTATTTAGTTATCGAATGTTTTTGGAGTGATTCGGTCACTAAACTTGGATGCATGAATAACAAAACTGGGGAAAGCAAAAGCTGCCTCATACGATTAAAATACGTATATTACAAACCAAAAACTTTGAATACACGATGAATCAACAGATAAATGTTGAGTGCCATTGTCATTATACAAATGGTATTAAAATAAATCAAATTTAACATGTCCTCACTGTCATTGTTGACGCAAATGAAT